GGAGCTCGGGACCTAGAAGGGGCACACAGCCCGGCACAAACAGCTGCAAAGAAGTCCCGCTATTCTGGCTTGAGGAGGAAAATTGAACTCCTAATGCTTAGACCAACCTTGTGATGCGCACATTTTCTCCTCTTCCTCTTTCTTCCTTCTTTCTTTTTCTTTATCCCTTGTGTGTGTGAGAAAGTCTGCAACTTTTCCGCATTCTGTATCATCTGGGCTCCAGGAAATTTTTCCTTAGTCACAGCAGTGACAGAGGACACCGTGGGGCTTCCCTTCTCATTTCAGAGCTTATGTCACATATCAGTGGCAATTAATTTCATGATTTTATTAATTTCACCATTTTGTCCCTCTCTGACCTCTTGGTACGCGGTGTGGACGTGATCTTAGTCACAGGAAGCACTCAGCAGTGTGGGGAAGCCCAAGTTCCAGTTATGGTCCAGAAAACTGGGAAAATCATACACAGTGGGAAGATTGTAGAGAGAAATGAGTTTGAAGAAACCTCCAGATTCCCAATGCTAAGCTTCCCTTCAGGAAATCTGATCTGGAGATACACGGAAAAAGTATGGGAAAAAATTAAAGGATCAGCAGTCTTACACCCTGACCCCAGATGCCTGAAGTTTAACTCACACTAAGCTGAGAACCCAAGGTCAGGACAAAAGTTATCTAAATTTCTATGGCATGAGAACCAAAAATCACAGGAAACTCTTTGGAATTAGCAGTATAGATCAAATCGGACAGCTAGCAAAACAAGAATATTGGCATAGCCTTTTAAGAAGGCCTTTAGCATCTTCGCATAAAATTAGATATTTCCAACACAGAAACCCAAACCGTATAACATCTGAGGAAACAAGTGATATAGATAATATGATTAGTACTCTGGGAGGCTGATACAGGAAGATCGCAACCTTGAGCCCAGTGTGGGCAACTTAGTGACTTAGTGAGAACCTGTAATGGCTTGTGTCTAGATGTCCCCCTAAAGCCTCATGACTTTTCAGAGGTAGCTAGATCTAGAGCGTGATGCTGAGATTACGTGTGTGATGTTGAGATCGAGAGTATGTGTTTTCTAAATCAGTCCACTGACTGGTCTGGCATAGTTCTGGGTGTGGCTAATGGGAAGGCCACCCTGGGTGAGAGAGTTACCTGTCCTGAGGGCACGTAGCCTGGATAGAATACAAGGGACAGAAAGAGGGCTGCTGGGGTCACCTGCTGCTTGCTGCTTTTGCTGCCTCCTGCCTTCTGCCTTCTATGCCATAAATTGTTTTGTCTCTCCTGTGATGCCCCTCTGCCATGTCACCCTGCCTTGGAGCCAGCCAGTTGTGGAATGAAACCTCTACAAATGGTGAACCAAAATAAGCCTTTCCTCTTTATCTTTAGGTGACTCAGCAATGATAAAAATAACTAAGATAGACCCTGCCTCAAATAAAAAATAAGGGCTAGGGATGTAGCTTAGTAGAAAGGCCCTGTATTTAATCTTTACCACCACAGAAACAAAGCAAATAATAAAAAACCAACACATGTTAACACATGTCCTGTTTACACAATTAGAACAGATGTTATCCTAACTGAAGCTATATGGCAAAGACCCTAAATCATCAATTTTCAAAAAGAAGCTAGATAAGGGCAAAGCATCTGGAAACAGCCAGAGAGAAAAAAAGTTTCCACAAAGAAAGAAGAAAGGGTGAACTTTCGTGTGAAGTGCCCCAAACAAAAACTACACTAGATGAGAGTCACAGCTGATTAGACACTGGGGAATAAAACACTGGTGAGCCTCCTTTTATACAGAACACGGGGTGGGGGGAGAACTTAAGGAAAAAGGACTTGTGCTTTGTGCTCAGGCATACTGGGAACTTGGCAATTGTCACAACACCCTAATAACAGAATCTGCAGACACCAAAATCAACAACTTCTCTTAGAGCCTCAGACAACCAGTGTTCACCTTGCAAGTGACCGCTTTCCCCGTCTGAGCCCAGCACTCCATCCTCTCAGTGTTGGCCACAGAACCCTTGACAAGACTTGGCTCAGACACAGCCTACAGAGCAGGCTTCGGTGGCTTCTCTCTGCATTCAGTATCAGATCCGACTCCGTAGTTTCCCCATCCTGCAGGAACATCTGGTCCTGCCCATCAACTCCTCTCTGTTCTTGACATCTTCATTCTGATGCCGACTGTTCCTTTCAGCTTTTCCTGCTCCTGTTCAGCTTGCCTGGGCCTTTCTTACCTCGGTCCGAAGCTTGGACTAATGCCTGAGATTAAATGTTCATCACTTTGTCCTTGGAGAGATGGCTCCTTCTCTGTGCTTAGGGACCCGTTCAGTGTCTCTTTCTTCAGGAACTAAGGGACGCCTTGAACAAAGTGGATCCTAAAAGGAGACAGTCTCCCTGCAGAGTGATTCCAGCACAGGGCCTCGAGCACCTGACGGGGAGATGATCCTGACCAAGAACAAAGTCTGAACTCAAAATTTCCCTTGCACATCCGTCTCCCTTGAATATGACAAAAAAAGGAAACTCTGAAAGAAATGCAGCATTTTCCCTTTTGTCCTCATCTCTTTTGCAGTGCCCTTGGATGACAATATTTTTTAAGTGGCTGTGACATCACCAACAGGTGTACTCGTGAACAACCAGCAAGAAACGTCCAGTGCCTCCAGCGTCGGAGACACAGAGGTGGATGTAACAACATCTTTTCTGCAGAACTGAATCCAGGCAATGGGACACAGTGTGAGAGACAGAGGCCTTCAGAGTGTAAATTTCTGAGAACTGCAGGGACTGTATCACACAGGAATCTTCACGTTGTTCTGTTCCTGCTGGAAAGGAGTTGTAGGGTTGCAGAAATGTGGCTGACACTATAGGGAATGGAGGAAGGGACGCTGCCAGAACGTCTGCTTGGATCCTGGCCTCCTATGAGCCACTGCAGCAAAAGGCAAACAAAAGAAACAAAAGACAGCAAACAAGACTTGGAGTGGAGAAGCTGAGTCTTGGGGCACGATTAGTGCTGCTGATGGCAGCAAAGACAAAAGCCCCCAAGCAATCCAGTAATTATTAAATACAACTGTGGGAAGGAAGGAGTAGCTAGGTGTGCTTTGAAGAAGGCATCTGGTGAAATACTGCCAAACCCCTGGCATGATGGCACCAGGCAGGGGTATAAGGGGGTAGGCACTGCTTATCTTCCTTGGATAGAATAAACAGGTACTGGGACTGGGTGCAAGTAGCATGCAATCCATTGGGTCCATGAGAAGCCATAATTCAGGGGAGAGGGTTTTAACTGTGGCCATGCTGACCTCAGCTGCATGGAACTCAGCAGAGCCCGGCCCCTTCACAGACCGGGGCCTCGGTTTCCCTAACAGTCACTGAGGGAAGGGCTATACTTGTCCAGTCTGCCAGCCGACATGCCCATTTGAGTCACGTAGAGATTACTGTGTGACTCCTGATATAAAGCAATGTAGCCTAATTCTCGAAAGCAAGAAGAAGGTGCCACTAATGGCCCTAGCACTAGTACTAGGGCTAGAGCTGGGCAGGGGTGTCTGCTACCTGACCCTACTCAACAGAGAGGAAGGTGCCATTGTCCCTACCCAGGAAACCAGAAAGTCAGTTTTCTTTGTGCTCTCGGGAGGACCCGAGAGAAGACTGAATTCTCAGAGCCTGAAGCCCCGTGCCCAGGGTTGATGAACACCTCCAGATCAGAGGAGCCAGTGATCTCAGGCAGGTTTAGGTCTCGCTCCTCCTGAACCTGGATGACTTTGGAAAATGCTGCCACCACTATATGAAGATCAGCAATAATGAGTCTGCAGTCACAGTCCTGCAAAAGTTGGGCTGTGTGGACCCTCTGGCCCTACTTTTTCTATATCTATATCTACGATTTTCAGTCATGTTTCCAGGCACTTGTGTGAAGCTCACAGCTCCCTACCAATGCTCCCTGTAAGCCAGGGTCACAAGATCCTGGGAAAGCAGGATCCTGGCTGCTCTCTGGACTGGCTTTGTGACCTGCAGCGGGCTTCTCAGAGTCTCTGGCTTTTTGTTCCTCATTTGTCAGGCACAGGAGGTGAGCACTCTCCCTCTTGGGGCTGCTGTGAGACAGGAAGGCAACAATAGTGGGAAGACTTACCTGGATGACACAGTTAAGGAGTCACGATCCACGATGTCCCCGTGCGCCCCAAACATGCATAAAAAACAATTTTTAAAAATGTGAAAGAGTCATTCGAGAGTAAAATGTCTGCATCAGATCACCCAGAGGAACAAAGGGCCACCATGGGCACCAAACCTGTGCCATCAGGGGACAGCGGGTTCCCAACCTTAACAGGACAAGTTAAACACCTCTGACCTGAAAATCCAAAACATGAAATTTTTTTGAGAGTGAGAAACATTGGTAAGTAAGCACTGATGATGAGAACACATTTCATTAAGTTTCCATTTCTGTACCAGGAGCAGGGGGTATATCACATGTATTCAGCATTTCCTTGGGGCTTCCTCAAACGTGTTAAGCAGTAATGCTGCTCAGTGAGAATAGTTTTCCTGATTTCTTTCACGCGTACTGGATGAGATTGTTGTATACTTCTAGAATTCAGTGTGTTGATTCCATCTAATTTCATACCAAGAGCAGTCTGGAGAGTCTTCTGGGACCAGTGGTGATTTTACAAGGACATCTACTCCAGTGCTTAATCAGGACTCCCACCTGCCACCCATTTTGATCTTTTGTTTGACTATTCAGCTTCCCCAAGTCAAGAAACCCAACTCCTAAATTAAAGTTAAGTAGAAATTAAAGATGCATCCAAAACCACAGTTTCTTCATGGTTATTTAAGAAATATCCAAATAATATTTTAATCTCAAAATAGTAAAAAAATGTTAAAAATTACAAATAAAGTAACTGGCTTTATAGGAAAGCTAGAATATTTTAATGTACTATGATCATAATAAAATAGATGCAGCTATGACATTATCACTCAGTGCATTTATAAATGCCCACTTAGTGAAGATGCTTATGAATTCCTTTGTTGTCAAGTAAGTCTAATTTTTATTTTTTGGAAATTGCCTGATCATAGAATTTGACATTTATTCAATGTATAAACCCTTTAATTTTATATTCCTGAACCTTTCTTTACCAACCAGAAAATGTCTAACAGTGCTTTTAATCCTGGTACAAAGACCTGTGATTTCTAATCTCATAATCGGCTTCTAAGTGTACATTGCAATATTGTTAAGTAGAGTCATATTGTTGTGCAGGACACCTTTAGATCTTATTCACCATCCACAATTGAAATTCTGCACTCAATAAAGAGCAAGTCTTATTCCCCTCACCCCAGGCCACAGAAACCACCCTAGTACTCTCTGTTTTGATAAGATCATTTATTTCAAGTGCCTCATATATGTAAATCTGTGCTTATTTACCCTGTGACTGGCTTATTTTATCTATGCGTGGCCTGCGAATTCCACTTCTGGGTAACTCTCCACTAGAACAGAAATCAGGATCAAAGCCATCTGCTCTCCCATGTTCACTGCAGCACCATCCAAAACAGCTGAGATGCAGAAATGACCTAAACATTATTGGTGAGATGGATGGATAAAATGAAGTGTTACGTACACGCCATGGAATAGCGCTCAGAATTCACAAAAAAGAAGACCCTATCCTGTGATAATGTAAATGCACTGATTCTAAAATAGCCATAGAATTTTGATTGGGATAAGATGGACAGTCCCATATAACCATATATATCACCCACATAGCCACACAGATTACAAATGAAAACCAGACAGGGGACAGAAAATATACACTGTATTTCAAAATACTGAGAAGAAAACAGTGATAGGAAAGTGGGAACTACAGTCCAGACTTGGACTTTAATGGGCTGTTACAGTACATGGATGATATCTTCCAGTTTCCCCCAGGGTCTTCCGGTTCCTCCCAGGGGGAATTAATTCCAGCAGGCCCTGCAAGGAAGAATTCTGGGACTAAGGCTTTGTATCCATACAGACAAGTGAGACTCTCTGGAGTGGGAGAGTGCATTGGAGGGTAAGAGGGGTCATCCCCATTCCTGTTGGTGTTTTTCTTGCCAGTTACAAAGTTGTCCCGCAACTTGGGAGTGATAGAGGGACCTAAAACCTTGACAAATCACCTATATCTGCAAAGGAAAACAGAAAATGGGTAAAAAGATTTGTGTTGCCCCAAGAGAGTGAGAGACATCTCCATTATGTTTTTCCCTTCCTCTGTTGCTGTGTTCCTGAGAGTTGACCTACTCATGTAGAAGTGAGAGACCCCTAGCACCAGAAGAATATAGGTGGAATTCTGTAGAGGAAAGAGCTGGAGAAAGTGATTTTTAAATCTGTACAGAAGCCGATACAAGTCCCAGACACACACTGAGCTGCACATGAACAGAACAGACGCAAAGGGTCAGAGCAAGGGCTCTGAGAAGTGACTATGATGTAAATCATCACTAATCTCACAGAGGAGCTGAGGGGTGGGAGAGCCCTGGGGTCTCTATCGTGTGGCAATGGCCTGAGCCCTGCTGTGCACTGAAGGCAAAACGCAGAGTAGTCTGACCCTGCTGTGTTGATTGATTAGCCAGTCAACAGCAAAAACGAAAACAAGCACTCTCCTGAGGACTTTAATAGCAACCAGAGTCTTATGAAATAATCAGCAAACTGCCCAAGATACTACCCAACATTGCACAATAAAATATACACAAAATGAGGAAGAGCAGATCAGTTCTCAAGAGAAAAGTCAAGAATACAGCACTGAGAAAAAGCCCACGTTAAAAACAAAAATCATGGAAAGCATCTAGTACAACCATTCTCCATGGATGAAAGGCAAACACTCTTGAAATTAATGGAAAAAAAAATAAGTTCTCATTAGAGAAATGGCAAGAATCGGAGAAACTGTAGGTCAATAAAATGAAAATCTGAAGAACAAAGAAAAAAACAAAAAAAATTAATAAATTCTCAGAGATGTGTAGCACAACATTAAAAATTTTAACTTCTGCTCTTAGGTGAAGAAGCGGAAAAAAGGCATTGAAGAACAAAATATATAAGGAAAAGAATGGTGGAAAACTTCACAAATTCATGAAACACAGATCTAAAATATTCAGAAAATCTTACTATGACACATGCTTAATCCAATAAACATCAACATGGAGAAAATTTTGGAAAGCAGTTAGAGAAAACAATAATAATAATAAATATAAAGGAATATCAATGTGAAGGTATGTAACTTCTCCTCAGAAAATATACCAGTCAGAAATGATTGAAAGAATACTTTTCAGTGAAAAAAAATCAACCTAGGATATTATATGGTGGCAAAAGTATCCTTAAAAGATTGAGGACCAAAACAAATAAATATAAAGATGTATAAAGGTGAAAAAAACCTCACACTAGAAAGCATTCCAGCCGGGGACTTGGCTCAGTGGTGCTGCCGCCTGCCCCACAAGCGCAAGGTCCTGAGTTTGATCCCCAACAGCTCCCCCCAAAAAAAAGAAGAAAAAAGAAAGCACTCTATAAAAATATGTGAAAGGAATTTCTTCAGGGTGAAGGTAAAAATATGAAAAGGAAGTATGGAACTTCAGGGAAAGAAAAAGAAAAATTGAATGGTATTTGGATAAATGCAATAGGTTATTTTTTTCCCCTCAAGCTCTTCAACATGGATAATTCATTTAAATGTGCAAACTATATCATTTTTATAAAGCCAAAACATATGACACAGTAATTACAGTGGAAAAACAATTGATATGTCTATATTTCACTTAGAGTCTAAAATGGAATCTAGATTATAAAATATTAACTCTTACTGGACTGTGAAATGACTAGGACACCTAACATTATTCCCAGAACAACTAAAAGCCAATGACAACCAACAGCCAGCACTCCCTCTTGGCCAGCTGTCTTCTCTAAGATTCCCAGGGTAAGAGCAGTAAAACCCCCAAGTCCTCATCCAAAAAGTTTTCATGTCCTGCAGGATCTGCTCGGGCAGGAATCCTGCTCCTGGCCAGTCCCCTGGTCAGGGACCATCTGTGACAGCGTCTGACCACACACAGCACCTGGGACTGTCAACCAGACCGAGGTCGCTGTAGGAACAACAACACATCCACCTTTCTTTATACCTATCTCCCTCAGGCCCCGGGAGGAGGTCAGGAAACTTCACTGGGTCCAGGAGACGGATCTGCAGCTTCTTCACATGTGGCCCCTCAGGCTGTGCCTCAAGCATCTGGGTGCCTGCATTTTCTCTCCATGAGGGCCCTTCCTCGCTGCTAGGGCGCAGGTGCCCAGGCAGGTTTTGCACTGTTGGCGCTTGCATACATATTTCTTTGTTGTTTTTATTTTTCTGCCCCCTTGCTCAAAGCAGCTTCCAGCAGCAAGCAGTCATTGCCATTTCGCCTCTGGACGAGGTGGCAGCTCCAAGGAGTGAGGTCCTCACTTCTGGAAGGCAAGGATCCCATTTCCTCAGCTGCTCGGGTGAGTAGTTCCCTGGGCTTTGCCCCTCAGCCCTGGCCCTGGGCCCGGACGGGAGGGTGTGCCCCAGAGGTTCATCTGCTGGGGGCCCTCACTCCAACTGCCTAGTTCCTCGGGCCTGCGCACCCCCTGGGCCACCTCGCCTGCGGATCTCCTCGCCACTCATCCCAAAACATTCCGAGCATGGCATCAGCGCTTGGGAGGAGCTTCTCCTAAACGCTCTCCCGGGACCCTGGTTTCCTTTCTGGGGGTCCTTACCTGCATCTTTGGGTCTGTCTTCATAGGAAGCCGGAGCTCTCTGTGGATAGTTTCTAGACATTCGGCAGCTCAACCAAAGGTGCTGAGTAAACTGATTGACTCTGTGTGGGAGCAGAAGTCACCCCTGTCTGAGTTCCAAATCCAGACTCGTTGCCTGGTACAGGGAAGATGACAATAAAAGCCTCAAGACAGAATAGGAAAGGGGTGGTGTTGCAGCGGGAGGACCACAGAAGGAGCCCTGGGGGTCTTCAGCGAGTTCGGTCTGCATTTAGAATCGTGGTGGGCCAGCGAGGCCCGATTCCCTTTGTCCCAAGGGCTGGGCTTTTGGAGAGAAATCTCCACAACCGCGGCTCCAGAGATGAAGAAATTAACCCGGGCTCCCAGACCCTCGGTGTGAGCTTGTCAACCCTGCAAAATGCCACCACCACCAGCTCCGGCAGCCCCGCTGGTGGTTTACCACAACCACACCGGAATCTTCCGGCCACAACCCACATCCAGCTGCCCAGCCGCTCCCCCAAAACACTGACGGAGAACGGCTTCCAGTCTCTGCGTTCAATCCCACGCATTTCCAAGAAGACTAGGTATGAGACGGTGGCAGAAATAACGCCAAGGCAGGTAAAATCCTTGAGGAGCTGCCTACGCACAACTCCCAGAGGTCGGTCACGACAACGCAAGGATCCCCTGCTGCCTCGTAGGCGTAAACATCTGATTTTGCCACCACCTCTAAAACTGGGTTATCGAGTTGGTGCTGAACACCTAGATCGGGAGAAAGAGACTGCGTTCTGTCGCCTCAACCTTGCATTGCGGGGTGAGTTTCTGATCCCCCAGGACAGCAATACTACACAATCTTTCTGCTCTCCTTCCCTGCCTGCCTCGGGAACTGTTCCTCCACCTACAGTCCCTACAGTGCTCAGCAAACAGGCAGGGAAAAGGAAGTGTATCGTGGAGCAGGACTCCCTGGGTCCCGGCGCCCTCCAGGCACCTGCTGCTGCGACCAGCTCCGTGCGTCCTGGGTCTGGAAGGAAGCGCAGCACCTCGACTGCTGCCTGCCCCTCCTCCTCAGAAGCCCTTCCGGGCTCCTCCTCGCACTCCACGGCCACAGCCTCAGATGTGTCACTGGCCGCTGTAGGCAAGGATGGTATCAGGAGAAAATCTTCAGTGCCTGGTCCTTCCGCCCGGGAGGCCCTTGCCCACAGGAAGGGAAAGAGAAAGTCCAGCTGGGAGGCCCCTCTGTATGGGGAGGACCCGGCCCCTTTGGGTCCCAGGGCCTCCGAAAGAGCAGCAGTGGGTGCTGGGTCTGCCTTCCCTGCCATCCCCAAGACTTCCAAAGTGGCGTCTCTGCCCGCAGTGTGTGCAAGCTCTCTTGCTTCCTCACAGAGCCACTGTCCCGCCGCCGGTTCTGGTGTCCCATTCTTGTCCAGTCTTCCAAACACTGCTCCTGCCCAGGGTAACAGCCTCTCGGCTAGCACTTCTGTGGGTTTGTCCACCCTGCCAGTGACTGGCCTCTGGCTCACCCCCCTGGACAACACATCCCAGCCTCAGCCTCTCCTCCCAAAGCCTGCTGCTAGCTGCAGTGCGTGCTCCTTCCCTCCTGCCCAGGTGATTGTGACACCTTCCAGCGGCAGCACAGACTCAGCCAGGGATGCCTCTGCCCTGCCAGGCCTGAGGCTCTTCCCCATGGCCCCACATGAGAAATATCCTACTGAGTCTGCATCGAGCAATGGGCTCACGTTGTGGGGCGATGACAGGCAGCAGCACGGAGATGCCCACTCTCCCAGCAGGCTCCATCGTGGAGACCTGAAAACTGTAAGTCTGGGAATGGCCCCAACCTCTACTCCAGGCCAGCCAGTGTTGGGTAGTACAACACAGGCAGCCCTTGGGGGTTCCTTACACATAAATATGACTTCGGGGACTGGTGCCAGCAATCAGCTGGTCTCCACTCTCAGCCAGGGTCTTTTCTCTGCTGTTACGTCCATTACCTCTGCCTCTGACACCCCCATGGAGATCCATGATGGCACCGAGCCGGTCTCCACTCTCACCCAGGGTCTCCTCTCTGCTGGGACATCCATTGCCTCTGCCTCAGCCACCACCATGGGGAAAAATGGTAGCACCCAGCCGGTCTCCACTCTCACCCAGGGCCTTGTCTCTGCTGCAACAGCCAAGGTCTCTGACACCACCATGGGGATCCATGGCAACTCCCAGCCGGTCTCCACTCTCACCCAGGGTCTCCTCTCTGCTGGGACATCCATTGTCTCTGACACCCCCATGGAGATCCATGATGGCACCCAGCCAGTCTCCACTCACAGCCAGGGTCTTATCTCTGCTGTTACGTCCATTACCTGTGCCTCTGACACCCCCATGGAGATCCATGATGGCACCCAGCCGGTCTCCACTCTCACCCAGGGTCTTATCTGTGCTCGTGCTTCCATTACCTCTGACCCCACCATGGGGATCCATGGCAACCCCCAGCCGGTCTCTAGTCTCACCCAGAGTCTTTTCTCTGCTGGGACATCCATTGCCTCTGCCTCTGACATCACACTGGGGATCCATGGCAACACCCAGCCGGTCTCCAGTCTCACCCAGGGTCTTAGCTCTGCTGCAACAGCCAAGGCCTCTGACACCACCATGGGGATCCATGGCAATACCCAGCCCGTCTCCACTCTCAGCCAGGGTCTTATCCCTGCTGTTACGTCCATTACCTGCGCCTCTGCCACCCCCATGGAGATCCATGATGGCACCCAGCCAGTCTCCACTCTCACCCAGGGTCTCCTCTCTGCTGGGACATCGGACCCCACCATGGGGACTCATGACGGCACCCAGCTGATCTCTAGTGTCACCCAAGGTCTTATGTCCGCTGGGACATCCAATGCCTCTGCCACCACGATGGGGACCCATAACTCTACCCAGCCAGTTCCCAGTGTCACCCAGGGTCTTATCTCTGCTGCTACATCCATTGCCCCTGCCTCTTACACTACCATGGGGACCCATGACACCACCCAGCAGATCTCTGCTCTCGCCCAGGGTCTTTTCTCTGCTGCTACATCCATTGCTTCTGCCTCCGCCACCACCATGGGGACCCATGAAGGCACCGAGCCTGTCTCTAGTCTCACTCAGAGTCTTTTGTCTCCTGATATATCTATTGCCTCTAACTCTCCCACCACCATGAGGACCCCTGACAGTACCCAGCTCATCTACAGTGTCACCCAGAGTCTTTCCTCTCCTGGTACATCCACTGCCTCTGCCAACACCTTGAAGGTCCATGACCTCATCCAGCTGGTCTCCAGTGTTATCCAGTGTCTTTCCTCTCCTGGTATATCCACTGCCTCTGCCTCTGCACTGACCTCCCATATGCCCAGTACTACGACTCGTGTTCAGGAGAACAGGCAGCTCCAGTCGACACCGGCTAAGAGAAGCCCAGACACAGGGACATTGGCAGTTTCAGCAATACCAAACGACTCCAAGAGGGAAGAGCTGCCCCCAGACTTCATACGCCTCTTTGAGGCACTGACCATCTCTTCACCTGAAAAAGGGACCTCAAGTACTACAAACTACCATGGAGGAAGTGTGGGCCTCAGCACTGGAGGCCTCCCTAGCCACAGCAGCCCCTTGGCGACTCTGGGACCCAGCACCACAAAAAATTCTATGCATGGAGCCCACAGGGCCCCTCGTTTGAGTCCTGTCCCCACACTTCCACTGAAGCAGAAGCGCTCAAATTCATCGGGGGAGCCCAGTGACGTGACAAGCAAGGCTGCTTCAAAGTGCCAACCCAAGCCAGTCTCTAAGTTTGGCATCCGTGCCGCTCATGAGGCCAAAGTCAGGAGGAAGCTTGTCTTTAAGGCCACCTCATCATCTGCCCAGGCCTCTGGACTCACAACTCCTGCAGCAGCCACCAAATCATCCTCCTGCAGCTCAGAACCCGCTATAGATTCCAAGCGTCCAAAGCAGCCTTGAGAGAACACCCTGTTCTACCAGGCTGTGTGTCATGTGAGCCCTGTTTACCTGACAAGAACACATCATGTACTGACCTCTTTGATCCTGGCAAACTGGGGGTTCCGAGAAAGAGCCTTGCATTCCAACCCTCTGCCCTGAGCTTTATCCTCACGGCTGTTGAGGATGGGGCTGAGGCTGAGCTTGTGATCAGTGGTCAGCCCACCCGACCACAGACGGGCTGTTTCTCTCCAGATGAGACTTACACTCTGAGCTAAGTAACCATGTTTTGTCAGGCTCTGACATATTCTTTTCTAAGACATTTTTTCCTTCACATTATCTTATTCCAGCGGGCCTAGTCTGGTGGATAAACGTACTGTGATGAATTGCACAATTACCCTTTACTAGAGAAGGTTTTCTTGTTGGCAGCAAGAATGATGAAACAGACATGACTCAAATTCTTATACCATTTTGCAACTGCAGTTACAGGTTTCCTTATGGCACATAATGCCATATGTTCAATTTTTATGCTTTAAAATAGCCAAGACTCTTCTAAACATGACACTAAACTTATGGTGGAAAGACTTCGGGGACCAAAGCAGAGACCTCTGCTGGATGACAATAGGGATGCCAAGGGGAAAGAGAGAACGCTGCTGAGAGCATGAAACCCCACATCTCCTGATCCCACTGCGCCTCTGCTCCCCTAGCCTGGCTGTCCCTCCAGTCCCTGGAGCTGCCAGAGTATCAGGAGAAATGGCCCTTCCTCAGTATGATGGTGAATCTGAAATGGTCTGCTCCTTTAAGACCAGTCAGGGTACTGAATTCGTTCAGGGGATCTACCCCAGTACAGCAAGGCAATTTTCCCTAAGACAATATTTGATGGGAGGCAAATGATTGTCAGCCTACACGCTATTGCTGAACCTAAATCCAGGACTTGTGTTTTGCTAAATTGAAAATCTCAAACCATCCTCACTATAATGGTCCTCAGGAGGTGGGGGGGGACTTTCTAGCATCTTTGTCACCCACCACCCACTAGGGAAGATAAATAGGCTTTGCTTCAGATGAGGTTTACTGGGAAAGAGGAGTGTCTTATCTTCAATAAGGCTCATGAGGAGTCTCAGATCTGTCATACCAGGCAGAAGTCCTCGATAGTCTGATCCAGAAGGAGCAATGCCACCGGTGGAACCAAACTGGAATCCACAGGAAAAAGGCAGCAAGATCCTAGTGGGCTGTGACCAGAAGTATATCCTGGGAAGACTCAGGTGAGTACCCAAAATGATCTTAAACAGAATAAGAAAAGTACAGGAAAGGGTGCTGAAGACCCTTCTGCATGGCTAGAAAAGAATATATCAGACTTAGAGTGTGATGTTCCAGCCTGTAACCCTGGGAGGCTGAGATAGAAGGATTGTTGTGAGTTTGAGGCCGGTCTGGGCTACATAATGAGTTTAAGGCTAGTCTGAACTACACAGTGAGACCCTGTCTCAAAAGACCAAATAACCAATCTTTGTACACCTTTAGAATGCACAATGCATGCAGTGTACTGTCCTTGATTTAAAAGTTGCCTTCTTTTTACAGTCTACTCAAAAAGAGATCACAAGTGCCTGTTGCTTTTCAGTGGACAGTAACTGAATCAAAAAGAGCCTTCCTACTGTTGGACAAGGCTTTCCCAAGGACTGGAGAACTTTCTGATGTCTTATGGAAAAACGGTGGCCAAAGCTTTGAGAATGTTACTAGTTAATAAGATAGCTATTACAATATGAAACCCGTTCGTTCAACGTTATATTGTTTAATTACCATGTTTAGTTTGATTTCTGTAGTTTTTCTTGCTGTTCGCTTCTATTTCATTCCAATGTGATCTGATAACATAAAAGAAGTTATTGCAATTTTTTAATGTTTTAGGAATTCTTTGTGGAATAAGATGTGTATTGGAAAAACTCCCATGTCTTGCGAAAAGAATATGCATTACATAGCTGTTAGTTATAATATTTAGATGTGTTTAGTGCTTTTCCTTTCTGATATTTCTTCACTGTTTTTTTGTTTTTGTTTTGTTTTGTTTTTTGGTACCTGGGATCGAACTCGGGTCCTTGCGCTTGTGAGGCAGGTGGCAGAACCACGGCCCCACTGTTCTTTTCTTTGCATGATGTATCTTTTGTGAGAATGAGGTATTACAGTCACCCACTAATATTATACTGGGCCCATCCCTCCAAGTATATGTAGTATGTTTTGTAAAATTTGGTGCTCTAACATTCAGGGCATGTATATTTGTAACTATTATACTTTCTTGAGTAATTTGTTCCCTTCACCACTATGGAGTGACCTTCTCAGAGTATTTGAATTGGTTTTGGGTTAAAGTCTATTTTGTCAGATAAAAGTAGAGCTAATCTTGTTTGTTTCCAGATTACATCTACTTGGAGTATTTGGGTTTTTTTTGTTTGTCTGTTTCTTTCTTTCTTTGCTTGTCCTTTCTGTTTCTGTCTTTGCAGGTGACATAAGTGTTGTACAGGCAGCAAATGGCTCCACCTTGTGCTTTAATACAATCTATCTGCATTTTCAGTCGGAGAACTAAGACCGTTCACTTTCAGGCTTATTATTGAAATGCATGCAGTTGATCTTTTCATTTTGTTTATTAGCTGGTGGTTTTGAAAATTCTATGTTCGTTTCTTTCTGTTTTATTCATCTTAGACATGTGGGTGTTTATAATATTTAGATATTGGACTTTCCTATTTCTCATTTGTGTGTTGACTCCCCGCTGAGATTCCTTTCTTCCTGTGTTCTGATGATTGTGTTAATCTTTCTTTTTCTAAAGCAGGACTCCCTGAAGTATCTCTGTAATGCTAGTCTAGTGATCACAAATTCTTTTAGCTTATATTTATTTTGAAAAACCTTTGGCTCAGAAGGACAACTTTCTAGATTCAGTAATCTTGATTGGCAATTTACTTTCAGAGTTTGAAATGCATCATGCGATATGCTTTTAGCTTTTGGAGTTTCTGATAAGAAATCCCTTGTTATTTTGATGTGTTTGCCTTTAAAATGTATCAGGGAACTTCTCTGCTGCAGTTTTAATATTTTTCCTTTGTCTTGCACATTTTAAATATGAAATTCTGTAAAGAGGTTCACTTCTGATCCAAGAGGGGTCCTAAGTGCCCCTGTACCTGAGTGTTTATATAGTTTTCAGCTATTACTTCACTGAATAGGTTTGCTATGCCTGAACACAAAGCTCTTCTTTGTGGGTATTTGAACTCACCATGGTGTTTGCGTGATCTTGCATATTTTCTTCATTTTTTTTTCTCATTTTTCTTTCTTGCTAATTGAATGTACTATTTTCATGAAGTTTTCCTAAAGCTCCGACCTTTTTTCTTCTGCCTCATTTAGGTACTCCTCTGGCATCCAAGAGTCCAAAGCTGTCTCGAAAGAATAGTTACACCTTCCCAGGCTGTAACTCCTGTGAGTCCTGCATACGTGTCAACCACGAAGTTTGCTCTGATCTCTGTGACCCTGGGGAAGATTGGAGGTTCAGAAAAGCAGAATCTCACTGCAATCCCCTGCCCGGCAACTTTGTTCTCAAAGCTGGGGAGGATGAGGCTGTGGTCCTAGTTGGTATCAGTAGCCAGAGTCCTCACAACCACAGACATAGGCCCAAGGCTGTTGCCCTGAAAGAGGACTCAAACCCCCAGGTGACTCCATTTTGTTTGAATCAGGCCTGTTCTTTTCTGAGTTGTTTCTCCCCAGATTATCTTAATGTACAGCATCGCTGATCTGACGGATAAACACACTGTGATGAAATTCAGCAATACCCCCACCCCCCACCCTCCAAGTAGTGGAGAATTCCTAGCTGCTGACAAAAGAGAATGATAAACCAGACCTAACCCAAATCCTTACACTTTGTTGCAACTAGAACTGTTTTATCAAAGATAAGGAAAATGGCAGGTAATGTTACCTTTTCAATGTTTGATGCTTTAAAATAACCAAGATTCTTCTATATGAGATTGAACATATATATGGTGGGAAGGCTGCAGATACTAAAACAGAGACCTCTGCTGGACGACAGAGACGTGACAAGGGAAGACAGATGTTATTAACAGCTTTAAACTCCAAATCCTTCTCTGATCCCAAAAGGGCCTCCATTGCCCTCACCTGGGCCTTCCTCCAGTCCATGGAGCTGCTGGAACATCAGAAGAAAAAGTCCCTTCCCAGTATGATGGTGAGTCTGAAATGATCTCCTCTTTGAAGACCCATCCGGGCACTCAATTTGGCCAGGGCATTGACCCCAGAAGAGCTGGCAATTCTCACGATGACAATATCCCATGAGAGGTGTGGGTTAAATTCCCGAGTCATCCAACCCAATCCCAGGTTTGACTTGTGATCTGCTAAACTGAAAAGCTGTAACCTTTCTCACTACGATGATCCTCAGCAGGTGGGGAAATCTCTTCTAGCATCTTTACC